TTCCTTTCTCTTCACACACATACGCGCATACACACACAACACACACACACACACACACACACGCACATACATACATACACACACACACACACAACAAACATACGCACACACAACAAACATACGCACACGCACACACACACATACACAAGTACACACACACACACACACACACACACACGCACACACGCACAAGTACACACACATACACACACAAGTACACGCACACACGCTCACAACACTAGTAAACCCTCCCCCCCCCACACCGACCGCCGACCGCCCCTTTTTCTGCTGTCAGCATTAACCTTGACCGGTCAGTCAGACAGTCAGAACTGTATGACCCAGGACTTACTTTTTAGGACAAGGGCAGCGGGAGGGGTGCTGCACTGTGGGCATCTACACACGGCCGACATTCGCTGTTTGATCGGGGTAGCTCAAGGATGGAGAGAAAGGACTTACTACATTCCTACTGGATTCAGCTGTGAGGTTGTTGTTAGTCGATGTACATGATAAAAATAGTTCTTACATTCTTCCTTTTTCCTTCTATGTGACTTACGTTTCCTCTGGATTCAGATGTGAGGTTATAAGTCGGTGTACATCATAGTACATGGTAGAAATAGTTCTTACCCTCTTCCTCTTTTCTTCTATGTGACTTACATTTCTACTGGATTCAGCTGTGAGGTTGTAAGTCGATGTACATATGGAAATATTTCTTACCCTCCTCCTCTTTCATTCCATGTGAATGTTGTAACATTTTACTCTGCTATGGTCTGCTAGACATCCTGAAGAATTCGTGTTAATGTTCGCGTAGAGTTAAAAGACCTGCGTATTTGCTCGGTCTATTTGTTTTCCCAGTTCGTACGAGTTAAACTAGTTACAGTTACGGTTCTGGCATTCGCGTTATGAGTGTGTAAAGTGTCGTGTGGCTGAAGGGGGGTTGCTCTGTATTATAGTATTATAGTATTATAGCTACTTTTATCCCTTTAGAATTCTTTTTTTTCTGCCCTTACGTTTTCCGAACGCAAAAGTGTTAGGATATTTGTTTCCAAATGCAGGCTAATCAAGAAGAACAAAATTGTAATCCCTTACTTTATTCTAACGCAAAAATGTTAAAGTGCTTCTCTTCAGCCTTAAAAATAGAACAAAGTTCCCAAATTTCAAGTAGTTCTAGACTTGTCTGTTACACACATTTTTATTTTTCCTGGGGATTTTGCCATCTGTTTCTAGAAGACCAACTTTGTTACCAACGTAATTCAATTGTCAATATACTGATTTGAATGCAGCGAAGAAAAAACTAATACTCTATTCAGGTAAAAATGATGTCTTGAATGGCTTGAATATCATCCACTGATTAAATCTTTGTTTACTTGTTTGTTTGGTTTTTATTTATTTTTTTGTTTTAGTTTTAGCATTTGATTAAATTTAAGTATCACAAAGAACTTGAAAGCGGCTTCACTAATAAGTTTTTAATGTTCCACTGCGTACACTTATATCATAAATTCTCCTTTTAGTTCCCCCAACATGATAAAACGAGTAATAATAAATTCCTCAACGGCGATAAAATGTATCTCATTTCTAAGTACAAAGCAAAGTTCCGTTGCCCCACACAGGTCTACAGACATCAATGGCAAAGCACTTTTGTCCAGCGACTTTTAAGTAA